TAATATGTTAAAAAAATTATAACTTACTATGGAAAAGAATGACTTTACATTGTACGCGCGTCAGATTTAAAAGCTATATGTATTTTATATATACAATAGTGCTGTTCTTAAATGGATCGGCAATTAATTTATTATTACATAAAATTTATTTTAACGTATTATGTGCAAGCACAATTTCCATTTATAATTTAGTTATTTTAACCTCCTTCCAATTAGCAATACCTTTACTATCTTCAGGATTATTTTTCTTCTCATCATACTGATGAATTTTTTGTAGAAAATATCAGTACAGAAAAATTTAGTGCCATTGTTACCAATAATGCAGCCAATATCCGATTGGCTCATGAACTAGTAATTCAGGAATATCCAAAAATATTAAATTTGTGATAATGTATTACACATTTTATCAATTTGATTACTTAATATTAGATAAAATATTATATACTTCTTAAAGAAAGGTTTAATTCAGATCTTCATCCATATTTTAGCTTTTGAAAGAATAAGAAGACTTTTTTCCACTCATTTATAAGTAACATGGCAGTTTCTATCATTATATTAAAAATAAAAAATAATTTTTTTTTGCAACTAATTTTATAAACATATATTGGATATGTCTCTTTTTGCAATTATTAAATTTAACCTTTAATTAAATCTAACTGCTAGTCTAACCTCTAATTAAGTTAAGTCTAATTGTCAAATCTAATCTTTTTTATTATTCATATCAGCTAATAAAAAAAGTTTTTAAAATTTTGGGAGATATTTTTGCAATTAGTAAAAGAGATCATTATATTAATTGTCAGCTAATAAATTACACTATTTATACTTCTGGTATTTATATTTACCACTTTACTTTTATTATATATATACTTGTATCAATATTTTAGAAATTTATTTTACTTTCAACTATTTCTTTACCAAAAAAAATAATGGTTAAGTGTCCTATTTATTATAAACAATATAAAAGACAAACAGCTTTAAATAATTATATGAAGATTATTAATGAAGTAAATAGTGAAAAACCAGAAGTTTATCAATTACCATCAGAAGTAATAGCAGAAATTAAAATAGCAATTATTTATAAAATAAAAAATAAATTAAAATAATATGATAAACATACAAGTTTACAAAAAGTAAATTCTTTTGGATTTTTAACGGTTATATATATTAATATAATTAAAATCTAATAATTATAAATATATATTTCATGGTGAAGAGACTTATAATATTTTAAGCCAGATTTTTGATGATGCTAATTGAGGGTAAAAAAAGATTTTAGTGATTTAAATATTGAAGATATTGAAAAAATATTAATGTTAAATAGAAATTAGAAATTATATTTTACTGGTAAAAAAACAATCTATCTTATACATGTTTTACACATATTTTACATATATTAGGTACTCAAAATGTAGAAAATTTTATACAAATAATATACATATCATACATATAGCGAGTATTTATATATATTGTATACTTATCAGGTATCTGATATGTATATAATATATATATAAATACCTGATTACCGATATGTGTATAATATGTGTATTATTTGTATAAAATTTTCTACATTTTAAGTACCCAATATATGTAAGATATATGTAAAATAAATCATTTTTTTACCAGTATTTGAAGATAATTTGTGTAATTCTTATAAATAAATACTTTAATAAATTTGATAATAAAATTAAAATAAATTCGGAAATAAATAGGTGGTTGTTAGACTATAATTCGACTTAAGTTTAATATTGAATATTGGTTTAATTTAGGTCTAATTTTAGTCAAATATCCTTTCTGAATTTGAGACGATTGGCACCCTAAATGTGCCCGAAAATTTAATCTCAATTTGACACAGGTTAGATTGTTATTCGACCTATATTTGACCTAATCAAATTTAGGCCGAATTGTCCTATTTCAACTAGTGAAGGACTTCTGAAACCTGTATCAATAAGTCACTGAAATTATAATTGCATAGCTACCTTATTTCTCATTTTGTAAAACCTTAGTATTTTTCAATGAAGTTGCATTTGTAATGAAATTTCAGATAACATTCAAAAATATATTTAGCTTTAATTATCACCTCTTTCAATATTAACCGTTATTCATAAAAATCTGATTGCAGTGACATTATTCTTCACACACAATAGTCAAGTCTTTCTAGATCAGCATTATCTTATTTTCCAGAGCATTGCTCACACATCAAATGAATACCATTCACTGCTTTGCTATCAGTGGTGATTTTTTTAGTAGTATTTTACAATGCTTTTTAAATAATATTAATAGGAATTTTTGACATGTCATGTAAATATCATATTTAATAACATATATATTAATAAGTCTATTAACAAGTATGATATTTAATATTAATATTGTAACTAATATAAAAGGATAATTGTCATATATTACAAAATTATTATTTTTTTACATTTCATTGTAATATGGTATTTTAATATATATTAAATTATAATAGCAATTATATTGTCAATTATTACAAAATATACATTACAGGATTATTATATGGTAATCAAAAAAATAGTCACTGATAGTTAAGTGGCTAAAGGTTATAGTTATATCAAATTATGTCTCAGTTAATGTACATCACTTTGCTAAATATAAATACTGAACAAGTAAGCCACTGTTTTATTGGATTAAATCTGTGTGTTTTTTTTTTATCTGAAAAATTTAATTGCATTGAAACAAATGTATGGTTTCATCTAGCAGCATAGAGACCCAAGCTACCAATCAAAATTTATGCAATAATGACATATACATAATGAGAGAGATCACTTTGCAGGAATTGCCAAATGTGCGTGAGCTGCAGCACACACAGGATTTGCCATTGCTTCTTGGGAGGACCCTGCCTACTACTAAGATATGTTACCGGTAAAAATTTCACTTTCATATAAATTTTATTGGTTAATTGACTAAAAAAAAAAAAAATCATAACAATGTAACATAAAATTTCCTTTTATAGTACGATCTTCAATGAGTTTCATATGTAAACTTTACTTTAGGCCACAAGGTGACCTATCTTAATAATAGGCGGGATCCTTTCTTGAGTTATTGAATGATAAATATTCATATTGTAAAAATGCAAACAAAAATATCTTGAATGACTGTGAGATTTGACTCTTCAATAAATTGTATGGCATTACTGATTTCTGCCTCATGTTTGTAACATATGAAAATTCTGTCTTTTAACTAGAAGGTCCTGATGGTATTATTTATCTTTAATTTCACATAGATGATAGCATAATACGTGAAGAAGTTAATCTAAAAGAAGTTTTAACAAATTACCTTTTTAATCATAAAAATTTTTGTTATGTTGATGAATTTACTCACAAATTGATACCAATAAATGCATATGATAAATTAGTTGAAAAATGAAATAAGTCACCCAAGAAATATTTTGAGAAGATTAATGTAACTGAGATATTACAAAAGCATAAGTTAGAAATGGGTGAAGAAGAGAAGCAACAAAAAAATGAAAAAAAATGAAAAGCACTTATTCAATTAAATTATTTGTAGAGTAGACTAGTTTGACTAAACTATATAGTAATAATTTTTAAGTTTAAATTTTAATTATATAAAATTATAATTTTATTATAAAAAGAAATTATATTATACATATAATAGTTTTATAAATTTCTTTAAAAAATATTATATTTTAATATAAATTTATTATTTTTTTTTTTTATAAGTAATTATTATAATTAAAAATCCATAGAAATCTATAAAAAATACATAGAAATACTATGGAATATTGAATTTCGGCATTTTGTCTTTTAATTTTAAATGTCTAAACTATTTCAGTTTAGTCAAATGACTAAATATTTCAGTTTTGCCCAAGATCTCTAGAGTAGGCTGTATTATATGGTTTTCTTTATTTGTTAATTTGTATAAAAGTAAAAGCATATGTAAATTTAACTGCAAATTTATTAGAATTATAAATGCATACAATAGTCACTGATATCTACGTATATCGATATCATTCCCACCTACACAGATCATATAAAGTTTTAAGCTCTACAAGAGAACTTTAAGTAATTTCAAAACTATAGCATAAATTGGGAATTAGCAACTGAGGTAAAAAAGAAATAAGTACCACTATGATTCATTTCACAGCATTTGATTATATTATATTATGTAATACCATTTCTTGCTTTTATTTCAAAATTTTTATAATACGTACAGTGTGTATAGTTTTAATAAATAGTAAGTATTCAAACATTAATTGATTTAGTTTACATGACATGATTAGTATTTGCTCCGTTCATAACTTGGTTAAAATTATCAGATTAAAGATTTTTTGTAATCAAGGGAAAGTCTATGTAATATAAGATTTTAGCACTTTTTTTGTCATCAGGACTAATGCCTAGTTTCCATTCTAAGAATCTCGTTACAAATGCAAACAAATGAAATGGATTATTGTAATGGTACAATGAACAGAACATAGCAAATATCGAATTTCAATTACATTTTCTTTATTCTTTGGATTACTTTTTTGTTTTTTGTCATAGTAGAAAATGATGAAGGTTGTTTGCCCTTATAACATCTTTTTTCTAGAATATATATGTTGATAAATTTTGTAAATAAAAAATTTCAAGTAGTTCTGTAATGATTGTTCGGTTCCAGGAGTGATGTTGCCCTTAAGAAAATGCAGAATGTCTAAGGGGTATTACTAAATCATAATATCAATAATATCAATATTACTTAATATTAATTAATAACAATTTCAACCAAAATACTGATCAGTAAGAATAAAAAATTTACTACGTGTTTTTTTAGGACTCGAATTGTAAATAAATTTCTGCTGGAATTATCTGAAAAAGGAGATGTTTATAATGTTTATACTTTATATGATTATTTTACTTTTATTTCTTTTGATCACGGGATTATAATTTCATAATCATTCTATTAAATTGTTGTGATCGAAAAGTTCTTAAAACCTGTATGATCTACGCCTCTACGGATAACACTTAATGACGGATATAATCTATTTCCTGCCACAAACAAAAGGATCACATCTCTTTTCACGAGAGGCTTGGTATTTCATTTGTTATAATACAAGATGATCATTATACATGGGGCGTCGTGATCATGCATAATAAATAAATAGTTTTCTGATTTTATTGAATAAATTAAATAAATTGATTATAATGATATCTATAATATAAAACACATATAATATTTACTATATTTATATTCAAAAGATTAAAAAGATTATATTCCTTGAACAACTCGAGGCCATTCACGTCTAATTCTTTCAAATAATTGTGGTTTAGTACGTTTTAATGCGTCAGGACTTTCGGACAGGGCAACAAATGTAGTTGTGACACCGGAATCAATAACGTTAGTTATAACACCCTAAAATAAATTGAAAGAATTATGATTAAAAACTATAAAGATGAAACGAAGTGAAAAAAAAAGAAAGATTTTAATTACCGTCATTACAAGACCAAAGAAAAAGCAGATGAGAACAAGAATTAGAATTGCATTATTGTCTACTATATCATTACTTAAAAATAGACGAATATAGCCAAAACCAAATAATGCACAAAGAGCGCCTATAAATACAGCTCCCATTACAAGTACATTTCCAACAAGATTATCGTTAATGATGGCGTCAACACCACGTTCCTTGATTAATCTCCAAGTATCTTTTGCTGCATCACAATATGATTTGCCATAAATTGCGACTATATTGCAATAAATGGTATTAGATAGTGTAAAAAATAAAACAGGAATGAAGTTTTACATAAATTACCTTGAACATAAGCATAGTGATTAAAATATTCTACAAGCTGTTCAATCCAGGATAATAAACATTCCAAACAAGCAGCAATAAACCCACATGCATCATCATCACTGCGTGCAATGCTACGAAGGATAAATCTTGTTGTACTAAGAATGGCAATAATTAAGCTACCATAGCAAACACTACCAATTGAAGTAGTACAAGCACGTTTCAATGAGCTTAAAGTTGGAGTAGAACCAGTACCACTAGGGGTACCTTCGAGGAAATAAAAAGTGGCAAAAACTCCAGAGTCGGTAACATGAATAATGGTCTTTATAACTTGACTTGTCCAATAGTAACTAAAAACTAAATATAACACGATAAGATATAAAGTTGGTTGGCTACAACTGAACGAACTTCTCCCTTTAACGTTTTGTGTTTCCCCACATCCGCTTGATTCATAAAATTTATCTTTTCTATAAAATTTATTATAAAAAAGCAATATATTAATAAAATACAATATATATTTAACATTATTTTAATAAAGTTAAACTTACGCTCCAATCAAAGTTATTATCCATAAAATTGTCCATCCTACTTGAATTACCAATCCTACCAACCCCATTATTATAGTGCCATAATATTTTTTCGTGAGAGTGGTTACAGTTTCTAACATAATTGCTGCGAACGGAATTCTATCACGCCATGTGAAAGCACAAAACAAATAAAAGATTCCAAAAATTGCCAATAAAATAGCCTAAATAAATAACGCATAAGTTAAATTGCTAAAAGAATCATTTACTCGAAAAAAAAAAAAATTTAATTACCGCTATGTATTGTCTAAAATATGCATAAGCAGCAGCAGCAACAAAATAAAATGCGATTGAAAGATATAATGTAACTTTTATAAGAGGCTTTGGGAATCTTTGCATTAAAAGCATGTAGAGTAAACTTAAGACAAATCCAAATATTCCTACAATTACAAGCAGTGTTATAACATTAGAAGAAATATTAATATTAATGTTGTCGGAATTATTGGGATTTGTGTTGGAAGGTTGATTCTTCTTGTTAATCAATTCATTTATTCCGGTATAACTTAGTACAGCAAATCCAATTAAATGAATCATAAACAAAATAATAGCCCATAAATCTATTAAATAAAAATAAATTGTTAGTTATCATGTGAATTCGAAGATAATTCTCTCCGACTTAAAATATTCCAAATTAAGACTATATACCTTGAAATCTTGGTTTTTTATTCCATTTTTCTGCTACGGTATTATGCACTTGATAATCGGGATAATTTTCCTCCCGACCATGATTATAATTTTCCTCTTGACCATGATTTTGTTCATATGTTGGAGGTTGATTATATGAGTATGAACCCGCAGTCTGAGGAGGGTAGTACTGTGGTTGTTGAGGCGAGTAATATTGCTGAGGAGGAGGATACGGTGGTGGATAATATGATTGACTCATTGCAACCGATGAGTAAAAAAGTTTCTTGTCTCTTTTTTAAACTAATGTTGAAAATTTTGACGACAGATTTTACAAAAAAACAAATAGTACTATATTCTATTTACAAGTTTCGGGTAACAAGCTAAAAATAAAAAATTCAAATTTGGGGGTATGAAACCTTATAATAATAAAAAAGGAAAATTCATTATAGCACACTAAAAATTATTTGTGAAACCCTTGCCAAGAACAAGTTGGTTTTACACCTAATTTTAGTAAGATCCAGAAAATTAAAAGCGCAGTTTAAGATTTTTACAAATTTAGTTAAATACTATAGTATACAAACTATTTAAAACTATTTACAAATTAAGGTTAATGTAGATAGAAGTCTCATTGTTTAATTTTTTCCTTTCTACCTCGAGTAGGTCTTTTGTAAGGCGAATTTCTTTGCGGAATAACTTGTCGGGACTCACTATTTGTTTTTAACGAATTTGGTTTTCGTAATTGTCGTGTAGTATTAATTGCGCGTTCTTTTAATTTCTCTCTAGCTTTCTCAGCGTCATTTAATTTCTTTACGTAATTGCTCATCGTCCTTATAAACCATCGGTCAATGTCATGTTCTGGAACATTCGTCCAAAGTGAAAGTAGAAAACGATGCTTTTTATTTGGTTTTTCTAGTTTATGATCAATTAAGTATTTAATAAACCATAATACTGCCATTGGATCCATGTTCTGACGAATATTCTTGGATTTTCCCGATTCAAAAAAATGGTTGTGTGTTGGTATTTCTTTACTCGGTTCATTATCATAAGAAATAACATTACTGATAGAAGAATATGATAACCCTTTTTGCGAAGAAATATTCTCAATCATATCATTTTTTATTTCAACAAGATCATTTCTAAAATCTTCTTCCTTATTACATATTTCTACAATCTGATATATTACAGTTGATATACAAGATCGAATATCATTGTCTAAATCTGAATTCATATTTATATCGCTTATATTACTAATTTTAGTTAATTCAGCAGATAACTCTTCGGTACGAGACAATATTTCGTTTAAATCCGTATTAAAATATAGACTATCTCTATGATCTATAAGTTTTAATAAAAGTGGATACATGATATGGTGTTCAAAACTAGTAAATGTTTTTGAATTAGTATTAATATTTCCTTCTATAATTTCACTATTTTCTAATGAAAATAATACATTATTGGCTTGTTGATATTTCTCAAGCGTTGATGATGTGCTAAATTGTGACTGATCAGAAAATTGTGTAGGGCGGTAGAAAGATCTTTCTTGAACATTCATTTTAAGATGAGAGTTTTTTTAAAAAAAGGAGAAATCAAATCATTTAAATATTTTAAATATACAATGGAGTTATAATACAATTTAAGCGGGAACACTGCAGGTTTTGCAGTATTGTTTCGAATTGAAAACAATAATTGGGATTCTTCATAAATAAAAAAAATCTCTTTTTCAAAAATCAAAATCATGGAATTAAATGTTCAAACATTGAAAGAAATTCAAATTAAACTATCTAAATTCATTCATTGCAGTAATTCAAATTCGAGCGAAGTAGTTAATTTGCCTATTCGAAAAAAACTTTTTGACCAATTTTATAAATCAAGTTATAATGATGAATCGCAATTTATTAGTCTTTTTCAAAATCAAGTATCAGTCAAACTAGTCGAACCGAACATTGATAATACCTTCTTTGAGAATATATGTGATAATAATTGTAAAGATTTGAGAATCAAAATACATAATATGTATTGTAAAGAAATCGAAAAAGTTAGAAATGTATTAGAACAAAAATGTCAAAAACAAAAATTGACACTTCTACAAAGTTATTTTATTTTGCCAAATGGAGGCAGCGAGCATGTACAAGAAATTTTGGCGAAAATCGATAAAACTTTCTCATTTATGATTTCAAAAATTATACACGAATTTCAAAACATTGTTCTTCACAAATTTACAGAATTGCACATTATTCGATATCCAGTAAAGGTTGATATTGGTTCACGTTTCACTGGCTCAACTAAACAAATTCTTGAAGCATTTTATGTAAAAAACAATCGACCAAGCAACTACGAAAAAATAGAATTAAGTCATCAAACTGAACTTACAGTGAAACAAATAGAGACATGGTTCAATAATAGAAGAAATCGCGAAGAAAAAGACTTTCAAGAATTTGAAGCATGCACGGAGAGATTCCTTAGAAACGAAATGGATTGGGAAAAAATGTTTAATGCTATTGAATCTGGAAAAGAGACATCTAAAGACATGATTATTTTTACTACTGCTGCTCTTGGATTATCTGACGAAATAAAGGAAACAACTAACAAATCAATCGAAGTCTATAATAATAACAACGATGAAACTACGTCCTCATCTCATAATTCCTTGGTAATACGCTCACGTGTAACTAGAGGATCTCATAAATCGACAGCAGCGCCTTATACTAAAAAAACACCAATGGTAACGAAAATTACAAAACCGCGTTCAAATATTAAAGCCGATGTTTCTCCTGAAAATCCGATTCAAATTTCCGTCAAAGACTCACAACACTCGAGCTCTATGGTTATAACTTCGAACAAGCTAAAACATCGTCCAAGCAAACTCTATTCGAGGGACAAGGCTCATCCATATAGACGGGCAGATAAACAAAAATGTCTTAATTCAAGCCCACCGAATGCAATTGTGAAAACATATGATATTGATGAATATTGTTCAAGCTGGCAAATGAATACCAATGAATACGAATCACCATCATTATCATCATTGACCGATTTTTTACAAAACCAATTTACAGATCCTATAAATAATACCTTTAACTATTATCATGACAATAATTTCGTTCAATATAATTTTAATGATACTCAATCATCCGAGATTCATGATCCACACCGTAAAGAAACATCATAAATTACCACAACAATTGTACCATCCCTTGTTTCAAATTTTATATTTGTAAAAGATAACTTTATATTATCCCTTCATTTTACTTTAGTATTTACGATATCTCGATAATTATGCATGTATTGTAATAAAGTACGAATAATAATTAATAAGCATAATAAAATTTTCCGTATTACAATTGTCCCTGCATATTTATCTAATCAAAAAAAGTAAATGCCATTTGGTTTACCATAAATGATGTTTCAATGTTATCATCAAAATTTTTACCTTTCTCCACAATATGTTGGAAACAATTTATTTTACGCGGGTGAGTTACAATATGCACAAGTGTTTAATAAACTGTGATTTCCCTAATTTTTATTCTATATTTAGCACGGACATCGTTCTGATTGGATTGTTCCGGTATTAAATAATTGTTATCCCACTGGACTTTTTTATGACCCTCAACTTTCTCCACATGGGTGCAATCAGGCCAAAGAACTTGCGCAGTACTTTGTGAATAATACAATACAGCTCGATAAAATCTATTCCAGTCCCTTGTTTCGTACCGTGCAGACTGCAAATTATGTTGCTGAAAATTTGGATCTAGAGATCCTTGTTGAGAATGGTTTGGGGTATGTACATACTTGTTATTCCATGGGTATCAATGAATAACTGAAATATTCACCGATGCCTTGGCCCCCCCCCAGCATCGGTGTATATGGAGTATTTATTAGATACCCATGGAATAACAGGTTTATTTTATTGTGTATGGCGTATACACCGATGGATTTTATACTTTTTTATACTTTTTTTATACCGGTGGAATAATTTACAAAAAAATCCATCGGTGTATACATAATACCGATGGGATAAATTATTATACTGTATATATCATAATTAATCCTTTAATCTTTAAAAAAAAATAATATTGGTATTATAGAGAATGGGAAATTCCTGAACCTGCATCAACCTCTAAATTACGCGAATTCTTTCCTAGAATTAATACTTTATATACTTCTGTTAGTAATCATCCAAAAGCCGATGAAACTATACAAGATGTTCATGACAGATTAAATAAAACTATGCAAGAAATTATTTCTCGTTGTGAGGCTGAAGGTCAAATAAAATCTATTTTGTTAGTTGGACATGCCGCATCTGTAACTGCTGGTGTAAGGGCTGTTCTTGAGGACCGATTGGCTGTGGTTAATTGTGGAACTTGTTCATTATCAAAATTTGTTAGAGAAGGTGGTAAATGGAAACTTAGACTTAATGGAGATTGTTCATTTTTGAGCGGTGGTGAAGAGAACAATTGGGCTTTTGATTAGTTTTTTTTTTTTTATCCATATTACAAATCAACGCACGGACTCATACTAAATTTAGTAATTACAGTAGTTACACGTGTTTAAATAATCCATAAAAAAATTTGATCAAAAATAAAATTCGTATTTATTTATTGTAATTTTGAATTCAATATGAACATTTTACCACATAAGAGGTATCCATTAAAGATCTATTTTAACATGGATTTATATAAATGTTCTATAAAAGTTAAATAAATTCCGTTTTTTTAAGTTATCATGTATATAACCTTAAGAACAAAGAGCGTGTACGAAAAGATGAGGAAAAAGCAAAACAAGAAGCAGCAGCAAAAGAAGAAAGATCTCGCATTGCGGTATGTACTATTTATTATAATAATTTTTCTTACATTTGTGCTGATTATAAATTCAAATTTAGGAGCGAGAACATCGATTGTCAGTTCTACGGCAGCGCGCGAAGCAACGTCAAACTGGTGTAGAAACAACTAAGGATGAACAACTAGAAGATAATTCTAATCAGGATATGTCCATACAAACCGTAAAAAATACCGACTCCATACAAGGCCATATAAATTTTTGGGCTGATATAGAAAAGGTGTTTATTATCATTTACTATTTTGTTTTATTGATCATTACAATTAATACATTTCTTTATTTTATTAGGAGTCATTAGCTGTTGTATCAACAAACCCAGAATATGAAGCAGAAAAAAAAGCAAAAGAGAAAAAATGGGAAAAACAATTTACAATGTATTTAGGAGATGTAGTCAAAGGTATTATCCTTTTAATTAACTAGTATTTTCAATATTGATAACATAATTCTTTATATAATAGAACAGAAACCATGGTATACACGTGTAGAAAGTGAATTCGAAAAACAATACAAGGAAGAGCGTATGAACAGGTACATGCAAAATATTTATTAACTTACTCTTATCAAAACTTTTAGGTTGATTATTAACTGAACAAAAATTGTTAGATACAAAGATGAGGGTACCACAACTATTGGAGATCCATTGTTAACGATGAAATCAAAATTAGATGCAAAATCGAAAAATAAAAATAAAAATAAAAATGAGGCACACGAGAAACGTGAGAAACGAGATCGATCAAGTGTAAGGATAAATAAGCTAATTCAAAAATTGTGTTACTTGACAAATTAATAATTTTTTACATATTTTATTAGAACGGAAGTAATTCAGAAGCACAATCGACGTCATCTATAGAAAAGTTACGTGCCGAAAGACTTGCGAGAGAGAAAAAAGAGCACTTACGTGTTCAAAAACTTCTAAATCCTAATTTGGTGGCTGATTCTGGATCTACTGGCAGATATAATTCACAATTTAATCCTGATGCTACTAAAGCAGCTCATGAGTTATCGGAACTATCCAGTTTAGATAATTCAGATAAATACAATAATAGGTATCGTTCAAGGAGATATAGACCATATTAGTTATAATAGTATTTTCAAATAATGGTTAATCAATAATGGCAGGTTCGATCAACGAATAATTGATCAGTTTAATTGATGGATCAAAATTTATTTAACTTAGGTATTACCCCTTGTACAATAAATACCGGGAGATACTAATCAAATTAAGTTTACATAGTATTTTACTTAAATAGTATCAGAAATTGTAGGCGGTCTTCCACAGACAAAGGTCAAACCGAACTTGTAGGTTACTGAGATTACTGTATGCCAAAATTTTTAAAAGTCCAGTTTTAGAAGAAACTTATAGAAAATAAGAAAATACTGTTCTATTATGATTTCTGATATAACGTTATTTACACGTAATTTTTTTTAAACAAGTATTTTTTTGATATACTAAAAAGGTTGTTTGATTATTAAAAATTTTTATAACTTACCGTATTACAGATTCATATAATTATAGAACAGTAAAGCTGATGAAATTGAAAACTAATGACTAATGTAATCAATGATTCAAATTATATTTTTTTACAATCTTTAACTGTATAAACTTTATTTATAAATTTTTATTAAAAAATTTAATTATATATATATTTCCGTTGCATTTCTTTAAATTCTGATTATAAGATTTACTTCAGATAATTTCAAACCAAATAATTATGCTAGTATAATAAAATATTACAGAATTATTATCTGAAACTATTCAAATATATTTAATAATACATTTTAAAGGCATATGATAATCAATATAATATTCATTTCCATTTTCTTGAAAATTTAATCGCTATACTATATACACAAATAACTTTTTTAGCAGATAAAACTTTAGCAATATAAATACTTTTTCAAATGTTTTTTTGAATATTTCCAACCTATTATAATTTTAATAGTGTTTAACTATATTTTAAATAAAAAAAAAAGTGTATTTGTATGAACTAATTGTAATGAGAAATCAAATATTATTTAAAAATTATTACATGCAAATAGCTAATATGAAAAAATACAAAAAATGTAAAATGTATAGAAAATAAGTAATTGATATGAATTTTTTTTATATAATATGAAAATTTACCTTTAATATAAATAAAAGCCTGCAATTATATATTGATATATTAAAAGCTAATACAAAGAGATAAAAAATAATAAATTTTAATAAAAAAATTTTTAAACAGTCAAATTTAAAATATACATGATATGTTAAACTTGCAATTTTATTGGCTAGATTTGGTATCAAATTACTGCTAGAAACTTGTGTAGATTTTACTTTTAATATAAATCCTATATACAGGGTTGGGATTCGTACGAAGTACATTTCATATAATATGTAAAGTACAATACTGTACTGAAACTTTTTAGTACAATACATTTTTATATATATGCAATATATGTAACTTATTAATTAATATTTATACAAGTTATATAAATTTATTTATTATATATCTAATATTATAAAAGAAAATTATACATTAAAAAAATGCTTAATTATATTATTATTATTATTAGCATCTATCTTATACATGCCACCCAAATTATTTTGGACTGCCATAATTATAAGTAAAATCTCAAATTCAATTATGGCATCCCAAATTATTTTGGCACTTTATATAGTAAATTATATATAAACCGAATGAATTATGGCATCCCAAATTATAATTATGGCATCCCAAAATAATTTGGGCAGCATGTATAATCTATCTAAATTACAAATAATTATTGCTAATCTACAATATCACAATCACATGATTCATGTATTCATGAATCTTGATCTTTTAGAAATTTACTGAAACTATAAAAAAAAAGAAAAAAACGGTTAGTAACCATTCCATAATATTAAAAAAAGCAGAAAAAAATCAAGATTCTACTTACAAATCTATGGTTTTTTTTCTATTCTTCAAAAGCCCACCTGAGACACTAAACCTATAAAAAAGAAAAAAAAAGAACGGTTATTAACCGTTCATAATAATAAAATAATAATAAAATAAACCAAAATTTGTACTCGTACTTACGAATCTTAGTTTCTCCATTCGTTAGAAGTCCATCCAAACCTATAAAAAGAAAAAACGGTTATTAGTAACCGTTCGTAGTATTTTTTTAAAAAAAGAAAAATAAATAAAACCAAGATTTGTACTTATGAATCTTAGTTTTTCCATTATTCAAAACTCAGAAGCCACCTAAACCTAAAAAAAGAAAAGAACGGTTATTAGTAACCGTTCATAATAATATTAAGTAAAACCAAAATTCGTACTTAGTACTTACGAATTTTAATTCTTCCATTCTTCAGAAGTCCACTTGAATCTATAAAAAAAAAGAAAGAACAGTTAGTAAACCATTCGTAATAATAAAAAAATAAAAAAAGTAAAGATTCGTACTTACGAATCTTTAAAGTTTTCCGTTCTTCAGTAGTCCACCCGAATCTATAAAAAAAAAAGAAAAGAACTGTTAGTAAACCATTTGTAATATTAGAAAAAAAAGAAATAGAATCAAAATTCGTACTTATTTACAAATCTTGATTCCTCTGTTCTTCAGAAGTCCACCTGAATCTATAAAAAAAAAAAAGAATAGTTAGTAAACCGTTTATAATAATAAAAAAATAAAAAAAGTAAAGATTCATATTTATGAATCTTTGGAGTTTTCTGTTCTTCAGAAGTCCACCCGAAGCCTAAAAAAAAGTAAAGAATAGTTATTAGTAACTGTTTATTAATATTAAAAAAAAATATATGAAAAATAAACCAAGATTTGTACTTACGAATTTTGGTTCCTCTTTTCCCAAAGGTCAGAAACCCACCCAATCCTAAAATAATAAAGAAAAAACAGTTATTAGTAACTATTCATTAATATTACAAAAAATATAAAAAAAACCAAGATTCGTACTTACGAATCTTTGTTTTTTTCGTCCTTCAGAATTTGGAAGCCACTGAACCTAAAAAAAAGTAAAAAACGTTTATTAGTAAAGGAGCTTACAGATATTACGTAATTATCAAAGGGGAGAGGAAGTAACCAAAATCTTACATTACACTTAATAAAATATATAATTTATAAATATTATAATTTGATTGGTTATTAAATCTGACAAGAGAGGGAGTAAGTTTATATTAAACTGAATATTACGTAATATCTAATCGTTCATTAATATTAAAAAAAAAATATAAAAAAAATAAACCAAGATTTGTACTTATGAATCTTGGTTCCTTTTTTCCCAAAGGTCAGAAGCCTACCTAATCCTAAAATAATAAAGAAAAGAACGGTTATTAGTAACTGTTTGTTAATATTACAAAAAATACAAAAAAAAACTAAGATTCGTACTTATGAATCTTAGTTTTCCGTTTTTCAGAACTCAGAAGTCCACCCGATCCTAAAAAAAGAAGAAAAGAACGGTTATTAATAACTATTCATAATATTAAAAAAAATAAAAAAAATAAGATTTGTACATAAATCTTTAGGTTTTTTCATTCTTCAGAAGCCCTTCTGAGATACTGAACTTATAAAAAAAAAAGAAAATGAATAGTTAGTACTGTTCATAATATTAAAAAAATAAAAAAAATAAAGATTTGTATGTGAATCTTTGGTTTTTCTGTTTTTTGGAAGTCCTTCCAAAATACTGAATCTATAAAAAAAAGAAAAACTTATGGGCTGATTTGTCTACTCTGCATTAAAAAGAGTTATTGATTGATTTTCACAATTTTTATTACTCAAAATTGTTTTGTAATACCAAAAAATCATCTGATTGATTATCACTTGACTAAATAATAAGTTGAACAAAAATTTACATTTGCGAAACTTAAATTATTAAATGTAAAAGAGCTGTGAAAAAACCCATTTCACTAATAAAAAACCCATTTCTCATATATATAGAATTTTTAATATATATTATTAAAAAGTAAGTATATTTTAATAAAATATAAAGTAAAATAAAAATTATATAGCCTTAGTAGCTATAAATGTTTATAAAAGTATAATAAAAATATCATATAAAAGATGGTATTATAATAAATATTTTCAAACAATAAAAATAATTATTTTATGTTAGAGTTTGTATTATCATCTTTAAACGCAAATATATCAAGATTCACTGATCTGTTTTCTATAATTTTAGGCTCGTTGGAAAGCCCTTATTCTGGACTTTATAGGCGAAAAAAGAGCTTGCTGTTGCTGGAGATATTTACGTTTAAAGTTGAGGTATGAACTTTTTAACATGCTTAAATGCAAATATTTTAGGATCCACTGATCCATTTTTTATAAATTTAGGCTCTTTGGAAAGCCTTTAATCTGGTCTATATGAACAAAAAAAGAGCTTGCCAATTGGATCACTGGATCTGGAGATATTTATGTTTTAAGTTGAGATACAAATTTTTAATATATATAGTAAGTGCTAAGAATTATATTAATTTAAAAGAAATATTTACCAAATTATAGTATAATAACATTAAATAAAAATTTTTTAATACTCATTTCCAATTTACTGTATATTATATAGTATTTTGTATAATAAAAATGTAATAAAATTAATATTTTAATTAAAGGTAAACAAATCAGCCCATATGAAAATGGTTAGTACTGTTCATAATATTAAAAAAATAAAAAAAACCCAAAAAATCGTTCGTACTTACAAATTTTTGGGTTTATTTATTCTTCGAAAGCCCTCCTGTGATACTGAAACCTATAAAAAGAAAAAAAAAATTTAAAATTAATATTTACGAATCCTAAAAATACGTTATTTTCCCCTTTGTTTTACCCTTTCCTTTCATTTTCTCCTTTCGTTTTCCCTTTTCCTTTCATTTTTCCTTTTTCTTTCATTTTCCCTTTCTCTTTCGTTTTCCCTTTTCCTTTCGTTTTCCCTTTCCTTTTCATTTTTCTGTAATCTATAAAAAAAACAAGAATGGTTAGCAAAGTAAACAAACTGTTCTATAATATTAAAAAAAAAACTAAGATTCGACTTACAAATCTTTCTTTTTCTTGCAGGTATTTCTGAACTAAATGGGTTTCGTAATAAATAAAAAAAACTAAGAAAAGAAATGTTATAACGTTTCTAAAATAAAAAAACTGACTTCCCCCTCCCATTTACATAGTTTTGATCAGCATTCTGGGAAGGGAAAGACAAAACCACTAAAATTTAAAAAATAAATAATAAAAAATTTTTTTTTTTCCTACGTCTATAGAGCCAAAGGATGAGGAAAAGGAGGAATAAAAGTTTAAAACAGAATGTATAAGAATTTTTTTAAACTTTTGATACGCGTAATGTGTGATGTAAATATTTGACTAACATGCATGTTGTCTAATTGTAGATCATTACTAATTGAGGTCAAATTTTTTAATTTAGTCAAATATAAGCTGAATCAGCACAGAAAAAACCCTTGGAAAAATTTCAGAAAAATTCTGGTTAAATATAAAAATTCTGGAAATTTATTTTTTCAACCGGTATGAAATTAAAAAAAAGTTCTGATTTTAGA